TCTGACACAGCAACAGTGGCTGATGGGATTTCTTCTCCCCGTTGACAGTTCCTTTAAAATGAACTAAAGTTTTCTGTGGTGGAACATTTGTACAGCAGGTGTGTGTAGCCACCAGCCAAATCACAGTATGGATGCAGATATTTACTGATTCACATCTTGCACATAAATAGCATGAAATGGCATATTGTTACATCTGTAAAAAAAAAAAAAAAATTGGAAAGAAAAAAAATTTCTCTTGACTGTTTGGCTTTGTGTCCTGCTGAGCAGCACATAAAATTCTCTGACATTTATTGAATAGAAGGAATGTAATGTGGCACCAAATACCAGAGAAGCAGATTTGCAGATCTGGAGGACATTTTTCCCACAATATACTCTTAACTGTTAGCATTACTGCATGTCTTTCATATATGGGTAATTAGACGTCAAAGGTTTTTATGTTGCATGGTTATGGAGCAAATTTCTGATTCTTGCAGATAAAGGGAAATATGGCGTCTCATCTGCTTAGAATTTGCTGTTTTCGTATAAAGGACCAGGAAAAGTGCTTCTAAGAACCATATTTAGTTATTCATCCCATAACAATAGGATAATTAAATAAGAGATTTTTTTAAAGTCACAAACATTTTCTGCAACCTGGTTTCTATTTCACAGTCTAGTTGTACCACACAGAGCGATGGCATCTGCTGTAAATTATTATCTATCTTTACATTCATAGGATCATGATTTTTTTTAAATAGCATTTGTTTTATTAAAGGAGACTTAAAACTACATTAACACCAAGAGATCTTCACTATCTTCAATAACAACCGGTAAGAATGAACCCTGTGAACCTTTAGACTTCCGTCTTTAAAAGCTGCAAAGCCACTTCAAGTGTTCTTCAGCTAAACAGCTGAGTCTATTTCCTATTGACAATCTGTTTATTAAAGTCTGCAGAGCTAGGTCTATTGTAAGTCACACACAAACTCTTTTTGACAAAGTGTGCAACACACACACACGCGCACACACACTCATATACATGCTTAGTGTAAATTTATCTCAATATTTTCTGCCTTAGAGCAGAACGTCTTAAAAGTAATGTTTTGACAAATGGTTTCATTTGTTCTTTTCATACATATTTGTGGCAAAAGTTTCTCTCTGGAGGGTTTGTTCATAGTAGATGCAACACAGATGTCACCAACAAAGTCAGATAAACTGTAGTGTCGCAGCATTACAAATGAGACAACTGTGACTTTATGCAACAACATAAAAACAAATCAAGATATTTTAGTTATTAAAACAACAAGTTACTTAAAGGGGAATTTTTTTTTTCTGTATGGTTATCCTCATCCAGTGTCCTCAATTTCTGCTATTTCAATTTGGCTATAAGATTTCACAAGGATACAGAGAAGGAAAAATATACACTTACAATACAAAATACAAAAATCATACTATAATGTCAGGAATGC